TATTTCCGTATTTTTCATTACTTTGATCTCATCGCGGATCTTCTGTTCGACTTGCTTCTCGCTTCTTTTGGCGTACCCCAACGCGTTAACATCTTCAGTGAGACGACTAATTAAACGCCTCTTTGCCTAAAATACATCATTCTCATGCCTTCAAGCGATATCGAGAATGTCAGCTACAGGCACGCCCTTCCTCGATCCACCGGTCATGGCGTGATGGAATATTTCGTAATTGTAGACGTAGGAGAGGATTCACCCCCCATGTACCGACTCTTCTTTGTGAACACTCTCCACACTTCCGGGAGACTCCAGTGGTTCATATTCATCGAAGAGGTAATTCTGCAAAACATCCTTGCGAATTACAACTCGTCATACTTGATTTATACCCTGTCACCCAAAATGTTTCTGCGCCACAACAAAATAAATTATGATCGAAGTGCATTGCAATTGGCTACAGTGCTCCCCGGAGAAGGAAGGCACCAAGAAGGAAATTCCGTACGTGAATAGTGATGAATGACGAAGACAAATGGGTACGAACGAGAGAACATGAATCTATACGAATAAGTGAGCTGATGAACCAAGACGTCCAAGCAGACGATTGTGGTGGACTGTTGAAGTAGTTCGAGCACTCAAACTTTCAACTAAGCAGCAAATATTTAACAAGGCCGAACATGTCGTAACCATCAACAGTAAACGAAAATAAGTTTTCTTCAGCGCTAGTATACTTGAGGGGCATCAATGCGGAGAGAGTTCATACACCTCAAACCCCCCCCTCTAGTCCACCCCCACCCTGAACTAGTGTAGTCACTACTTCCTCAACGGTTTCTCACCCCTTGCTATGCTCAGCTCGGCCCCAAGTATACCAGCGTAGCAAAAACAAAAATCTATGAACAGGGAACAATCGATTGTCACAAGAAATCTCGGTTGTGAACAAAACTTTCGCCCCAGACGGGAATCCATCTCTTACACTTCCCAATAAATTCGATAATTGCCAAATAGTTATGATCCTCGCAAATCTTGCCTAGTCTCGTTTGGGGCGAAAGTTTGGTCACAAGGCAGTACTCTTGTGAAACAAGGCGAATTGCGGCCACATACAGCAGTTAACAAAAAAAGTCATTCGATTAATTTGTTTAAAAAAGGACCGCTCCAATGATAATAATAATATGAGAACAAAAAGCTCACCTTGTGATTGAAGAGCGAGCTGATTTCACCAGAAAACAATTGGAGTAGTTGCACTCTAAAAGAACAATTCAATGAGACGAATAAGTTAGAAAAGAAAACGCAGCTTACCCTATGAGATCACAGTAGTGGCGAAAAATGGAAACCAATTGAACAAAGTCGATACTGAAAAAAATCCTCATCGAGAAAAATTATTCGAGAAAGTGAAGAAAACTCACTATACTTGATCGCAGTATCACCAGAAACCAATAGCTCACGTCCTGAAAACAAGCACCTGAATGAGAGTGATGATAAAGCAAACTATTTGCAGCTTACCTCACACTTAATAGGGCTATAAAGCAAAAACAGTGAGAGATGCGCAGTGATTGGAAGCGAAACAAATAAAATGCTGTAATAACCGCTTTAATGAGGCGAACATTTCGAAGTTAGAGCAAACTCACCTAATGAGATCGCGGATCGGCAACAAACAGTGGGGAACCCAGTAATCAAATTCCTAAAACAACCCGTTCCAATAAAACAGTAATATCAAAAAGTTGAAACAACTTACCTATTGAGTTTGCCCAATGAGCGTAAACAATGAGCCACTCGCTGTAAACACCACCTAAATAATAGGAATGAGTCCACAAATTAGAGCGAACTCACCAAATAAGATCGTAGAATGAGCAAAAGAGCAGCCGCACTAGTTACAAACAACGACCAAGAACGAAAGGCAACTCACACAGCGCAATAGGCACAAGACCGTGATCCTTTCGCAATCACTCGATGACAGAAATCCCTACGAAATCCATCGCCATAACATGGCCCTTCGGGTAAGCCCTAAAAACAGAATCAAACACCAAAAATTGACGGCTCACACAAGCCAACCAAACGAATCCTCATTATAAACCATCCCTAAACCCATGATGCATTTCTAGCGTAGCAATAATCCGAGAAGAACAAGAAAATTTGTGAAATTTGGTGAAAATCTAAAATAATATCCAGTCTTTGATACTATCGCATCGTTAGCGGCATTATCATGCTGGTTCGAGTAAGCTAGAAATACTGCTAGGTATATTTAGCCGTGAGTAACGTTTTAGCACATTCTACGGTAAGAAATTAGTAATAATATGCTAAAATCTCAAAGTTGGCAGCTTTCCTCAAAGCCGATTTACGTATTTAACACCTGCGCCCTGCGCATTGTCGTGACAGAAGCATACAGGGTACTCTCACGGCTATCCTCTATCCGGGCACCCTGTTCTTCAATTGGGGAACTACGGGTAGAACTTGTGATGAGAGGAAATAATAAGACTAGATGACTTATATCTGGTCTAGCAGTTTTTTGCATATATCTTCGAGATGTCAGCAGTGAATATTTGTGGTAGTGGACATCAGATCAAAAAATTCCTATCTCCTATCCAGCAAAAAGTAGGAAGCGAACACTGAACATAACATTTAATGCAAAATGATTGGAATCGTGAAGAACAGTTTTCCCATTGATAGCGCAATAGTTAAGCTTTTGCTCACAGCTTACGTAAAGAACTGCTATTATCTTCCAACGCAGAAGCTGTAAAATCCCACACAAGGTTGGCGAATAAAAGCGCCAAGTCATCACGCTCCTCCCCCCTGCTGGTCCCCCTAGTACTAGGCTGTGAGTCTAGGGAAGTGTGAGCATTTTCATTACCCTCAAAGTTCACCCTCTTCTCCAAGACTCAGTCAGCGTGGGCATGCCCCTTTTGAGTACACTACCGCCTCAAAATAGAGATTCGCAACAGTAACGCAAACGTTCCTGTAAGCGAATTATATCCAGGAACTGAATTACATTTTACGGCATCTTCTTACAGAAAGAATGAACATATCCCGTGGCCTATCATCTACAAGTATGCGCTCTCACTTTCAGCACAAGTCATCCTCACAAGGATACCTCCGTATCAGATTTCTATGTCTATGGAAATATCTACAAGTGCTAATAAATCAACTAACAACTCGAAAACAAGGTGGCCGTGAGACGCAACTACTAAGCAGTTCATGATGAAAACTACCTCACGAATTAGAACTCTCTCTTCCCTCAGGTGCCAAGTAAACTTCGTCCCCTCGAGTCCCTCACTGCACTGGTACAATGCAATGGCATCAATGATTGTTCTAGTGCGGAACATTATAAATACGCTAGCACCTTCAAACCCTCTTGCATGTAAGAGAAAATGACAATGGAATTAGAGTGGTTTCCAAGGCGCGCAATGGTGTTTCCAACGATATGTGAAGCATCTCTCGGTACCCGTCACCTATCTGAAAGGAGAAATGCATGGCTCAACTCAGTACAATATTCGGAGCTGTGCTAGTTATGAATTGATTAGTCTTCCCATTTCCTTTCATCACGAGCCCCGCCTGTGATCATCAGTTACAATGTCAACGCCAGTAGAACTAGGCGTGGGCGTACTGTAATCGCTTGCGGTACGCAATTGCACCGGCGCAGGGGATATAACCGTACATCTTCTAAGCCAAATCTCAGCTTCTTGGCAATTGCCATACTTTTAGCGCCATTGGTGCTTCGTATGCTGACCGCCCTGACCCCCCCGACATAACTTACTGGCTGCTTTCGGGGGACCGCCATCTCGGGAGACCGAATCGGGGGCGCTCCACCCCGGAACACGAACATACCTACGCCCCTGTAATGAATCATAGGCACAACGCCCGTACGAAGAGTTGAATTCCCATGACATTGCACTGGAAACCCATCATAGAATAGAGGTGGCGAGCGAATTACATTGATGAATCCTATGTGGATAGCAGGGTAGTTATATTGCCAGACAAGGTTACCATCCTGCAAATTCACAGCGGCTTCCGCTATGGACCATGCGTGTTTGGTCAAGAAATCCGCGCACAGAATCTGGTATTATTATCAGTGATATATGTCCATGGTGTTATCCCATGAAAACTGTAGTTTCAGTGAGTTTCTTGCTTAATGTTCTGACTAATAACTTGGCCCTACCTCGACTAACATGGTATCTGCCATGTTAGTCGAGGTAGGGCCAAGTTATTAGTCATAAACACAAGGCTCTGAATCCTGGGTTAGGTAGAGGCGAAGATCTTGGTAGTTGGTCAGCGGAAACTTGGGTTGACCCTAGGATAGCAGACATCCCGAGTGACATGGTGGTCCTACATCGGCCTGCCTTGCTGAAGGATGCTGAAAGAATATGTGCTGATAGACACACTGAATAAAAATTGAAGGGCTGGGAGCTACCTGATGAACTTCCTAAAGTGATTGAAGAATACAGCAACGCATTCGCTATAAGGCACACAAACGGATTTAGTGAGCCATGATATTGACGTGGGAGGTCACTCACCAGGTCATCGACAGAAAATAAGACCAGGACCACACGGCTTATGAACTAAACTGGATGTGATGCTACGGGATCTCAGGCAAAGGCAGAGTGATTGAGGACAGTCAATCCCCATGGGCATACCCTATATATGTGGCGAAAAAGTTGGAGCCAAACGATTATGTGTGGGCTATGGGGAGAGAGGGGAGGGACTATTAAGCAAGAAATGATAACTACCTTCACAACCCATTGACACAACACTCCAAAGCTTACAAGAAAAGCGCTGATTTACCTCACATTACATGGCTAGTGGCTATCCGCAGGTGCCTGTCAATGAGAAGGCTAAGGAAATTAGTGATTTCACTTCAGGCCATTTCCAATTTCGTGTTTCACGTTTTGAGCTTCAACGGCACCGGCAGAGTTCCAGAGATTGATGGACAGGTGCAAGGTGAACTGCTTGGACCGGAAGTGTCGGCCTATATAGACGGTATTTAATTGCCACTGAGTCCTCCAAGAGAAACATTGAAGCCATAAGTGAGGTGTTTCAAGCTTTCAGAGAAGCGCAATTCAACGGTTAAACCTCAGACATGTCGAATGATGGAGCCTAGTGGCTAGTGTTGAGATCCTAGGGTAGGTCGTGGACGAAAATGGAGTTAGAGCCGACCAGGAAAAGGTAATACGTTTCTAGAATTATGTACGTCCTTCAGAATGTGTGCGTACATTTCTGCGTATGGCATAGTACGATCGGGAACTTGTGTTGCATTTAGCTCAAGTAAGCTAAGCCTTTATATGAGCTCACTAGTGTTGGGTTCGGAGCATAATATCGTAGCGCTTGCATTTTTCATTTCTTCACACAAACATTTGAAGCAAAAAATAAAAACAAAACTAATCAGTGATGTTCACTTCGTCATTATTTACAACTTTGATTGCATTTCGCAGGAGATCACCGGATATAGAATTTAAAAAAATATTGAGCTCGTTTTCGGAGTCCTTATTATTCTCAATTTGTACGAAATGAATATGGTTTTAATTTGAGCGAAAAAGGTAGGGTCGGTAGAGCAAGGTTCGATTAGAACAATGGATTCAAAAGAACTTCCAATTTGGCGTTTTTCTTCTTTATTTCAAACCGAAGAATAGCAGCTGTCGAAACGCCGATTTTCGCCTTTTCCAACTTCTAAGCTCTATACCTGAGTACAGCTACAATTTTGAAGAAAATGACAACCATGTTTTGTAGAGCGGGAAGAGTACTTTCAATGAGATGAGCGGTTTTCTGATGATACTCGTACTGATTGAATGTATACGCTCGAAAAAAAAACGCTACGATATTATGCTCCAACCCAATACTAGAAAGCTGTTCGGCTAGTCAAGAAGAGCACAGCATAGCTTTTGACACGCTTCAAGAGCATTTATCTTATTTAGCACAGCCTAATCTAGAGAAAGCAACATGGGACTGATTCCGACCTTCTTTTATCTAAACGGATGCTAGCAAGTAGCTATAGGTTCTAGCACAAGAGTATGAACAATAGCATGCAGCATCCACCATATTTACGTCTAAACACTTGTCTGTGCCGAGAAAAATTATACGTAACCGACCAGGAAGCGTTTGCATAAATTTGAATTTTACGGCTTGAAAAAAGTTCCACTATTTCATTTACGGGATTCGTACTATAGCTAGAACTGATCATGCGGCGCTCAAATCGCTCAATGAACGAACAAATGTTGCACTTGGAGTTTTGAGATGGGCACTAGAAGTTCAGCGTTATGATCCGACCGTACAATTTGACAGCAAACGTGGTTGCGGACGCGCCATCTGAGAATAACACAGAAAAGAATAGGACAAGGATACGAGGAAGCTGCACTGTTCAAAGGCATGAACCTACTCATAACCGTGCGTCAAGGACTGACTCAAGAATTGATAAAGTTAGACGAAAATGGTCTAACTGAATATGTGGGACTTCTAGGTAGGTCGGGCTAGGTCCAGCAGACTTCCTGATACAGCTAATTTTGTTTCACAAGACTTTGATTGCCATGGTTCCACGCCCACAAAGGCGAGCGATTTTCGACAAATTTCACTCCGATGTTCTAGCGGGTCACCTTAGCCCAAATGATACATGATAAATCTCACAACACAAGAACATCCTTTTTGCATGCCGGATCTACCAAAGCTCTTGATTAGCTAGTGCCGCTGTCAAGGATCTATTTGCGAATAAAATGGCAATAGACCGACAACTAATTGAAGTGGAGTCGAACAGAGAATATTTATTAGTGAAGACGAACTGAATACAACAATGACAATATAATGAAAGTGTGGGTTTATATACCAGTTGACCTGGTCAAATATCCCGGTCAAACTATGTCAACACCAGATCAAATCCTAGAGTGCGCACTAAAAGGGGTCTTAATTGACTAGGAAACCACCCATTAGAACTCCTGATTACCTACAACGAAATTATACTACCTGCCAGAGCCCAACAAGACCACAAAACGCTCTATACTTACAGCAGGGTGAAAATCGTGTCGAGGAAATAACCGCCTCTTTACGACCCCCCTCCAAAACATGGACTCTGATACGACCCCTTTTTGTCCTCTGCACATCCGGTTTCATATCAAAAAATGCTAGTTTCAGATGTGCGAGAGGGACGCAGCGCCACTGCCACGCAAATGCGGCTTGATCCAAATGCTAGATTCAATTCTGCTCAGATTAGGCTCTCTTCTTTCCTTTAAAGACATTTAACCTTTGCCACATTGGCCGGAAAGTAGAACATTGAAGGAGGTACTGCCCCTACACAGTTGAACAGTCTCGCGCTCCAGTATAGCGGCGCTAACTACCCGCGATCGCGTCGCGCGCTGTGCCTAGAGCGCGCTAGTTGGAAAAATCGTCAAATGTACCCCCTATTCAAAGGACTATAACTTTCTTCATTGATAACTATTTCAGAAAGTGAAGGCAGCTTTGAATGCAGCGGTTCACGCTAGTTTAAATGGTTTAGAGGGACGAGGGGCCAGAGACATCAGTGGCGAAAAAAGCAAAGAAATCCGTCAAAAATAAGCAAAATAGTGCCCCTTTGATTGCCCTTTCATTTTCGATCATGGATGAGCGACGGTAAAGACTGAGGTTGTTCGGACGTGTTAACCCCGATAGCTGCCATCATGCCAACAAGCATAGTGTTTCGATTGATAAGGCATAACATGGGCAAGATGGAAGATACAGCCGCTAGATGGGAAAAGATCATCCAAAATGAAAAGCCAACAGCAATCAGTCCATCCAGATCATCAACAAAACCAGTGGGCGGGGCGGCGCATGGGGCGGAAGGGCGCAATGGTCCTGCTCAGCAACCACAGCACTGTTCGCAGTGGAAGCGCCACACATCGCTTCCTTGGCGGCCTGCTAATTGCTCTGTGGGGAGCAGGTTCTCCGCAGATGTGAAAATTCCTTTCCGTACCACTTCCTTAATGCCAATCCTACCATCCTAAGTTGATGCTACGTCTTTCTACACCCGCTACACGCCTATTCTCGAGAGTGGGAGACGTCGAGAAATTGTCGAGGAAATTGAAATTTACATGCGAGTTCCCACTCTTAGGAAGACAGTAGCTGTCTTCATTGGCAATGCTTTGGAAATCCGACGAAAGCGTTGTAAAGTAGAAGATTCACGCTTTCTAACAGGTGCTCCATTTGTTTCGAACGCTTTCTAGTTCGCGAGAAATCTGCGTCGAGGAAATGTCAAGGAAATTTTCGAAGCCACTCGAAAACTCTATTACTCCCTCGCCGTAGTAGGGACTTCTTTGAACACCTTCAAAATACTTCTATACACGTCAGTTCGATGGAGTAAATTGAAAATGATGCACTTGGCGCGGATCCATTCCGTTCTGTATGCGCCATGCAGTGACCCCACTCGGAGTCATTGGGAAGGTGGTTGTCTTAGTGACGACTTCCTTAGCACACCAAAAATTCCAGTATTAACACGTTGACGACAACGCGAGTTTTGGCACTTTTGGCCACGTGGGACCACGGCGTTTTTGCGAGCGCCGCCGCCTCAGGTTGTTCAAGCAAATTTTGAGTGATAAAAACATAAATAATGATCAATACAAGGCCAGATCAATATATTGTAATGAGCACAACCTACTCGGAGGTACAGTAGCGGAATTTCTATTGAAAGACATGGAATAACAATGAAAAAGTGATATTCTTTAGAACAAGCTGCAATAAACTTCAAAGGCAATTTTGAGTTGATTATTTTAATCAAAACACATATATTGTCATCTCTAAGGTACCGTATCTACTTCTACTACTATTTAAACCTTCACATTCATAGGAAGAAAAAGTAAACGAAAAATTTATTAGGCTGAAGATTTCGTATGGTTCAGAAATCCTCCTCCAAATTGAAGCATACGTGACCATTCTATGGACCACTATGTTTTTAGCTAGGTCAAGGTCTCCTCCATTCAATAATTACAAGAAACTTCTAGAAGAACCAGGCGTGCGCGAAAAAAATTAGTGTAATGGGTGCGGGGGATATATCCCCCGCACGGTCCGACACGGCCTGCAATGCGCGGGATATATATCCCCCGCGTTGTCGTCAATGTGTTAATAATTAGGATAACTCTTGTGGTCATAGTGATGTCTGATCATTCCTTTATTCAAATCGCTTCCTTTCCAACCCGTTCTGATGAATGACACGCTTGCGGTTGCAGGATCTGATGATGCCAAGAAGGCTGCGAATCTGCCTGTTTTGAACTTTCTACCAAGATGCTGTTCCTCCACTAAGTTCTCGAAGCATGTACATCATTCTAGAGTAGATACTCGCTGCCCTTTCCCTACGATTCTTTTGCAGGACGCGTTGCCTTCCTATGCCATACTGATCACTACGAACCAAACCAACAACACTTTCCATTTGAATTTTAATTCCAGACAGGTGTAAGATATTATTTGCATTAGGCTAACTACAACACTTGTGAAACTAATGATGACAGCAAATAAGTGGCAGCAGCACCGTTGTGTCCGTTGATGAACCTTTTGATTACGACCCCCTCCCAACTCTCATCGGAGCAAATACGACCCCCTGTCGAGGATTTCCTCGACCGTTATTCACCCTGGTCACAGCCATAGCGTGGATGTGCTTGAATTGGAGCCTTTGAACAAGGCTAAACATGCTTCTGAATGCTAGTACGATTTAGCTTGGATCGCTTATGAAGCGTTCTAGACGCTAAGCGCCTGCCATCCTATCATAAATGCCAAGGGAGTATGGCCAAATTAAAGTTATGTACATGCTATGTCAAGAATTCATGTGGCATAGATACACATTCATCGGTGCACGTCCAGGGGGAAGGAGGCAGTCGCCAAAACTGAAAATTTCCGTTTTAAAGCTTACCCATCTTCCAACAATGCCGAAGGAAACGCCAGAATCAAGTGGTGTTAAAGGGAGGAGCATGGTCCCGCAACGAACTAGGTTCAAAAGTGGGCAGCTTGCCAAAAAACTCGTCCTGCGTTTTTTCAGGGTGTACATTTAGGCGACAGCCAATGGAAATGCAAGGGGCATCCTGAAGAATATGAAGAAATACAGGATCATCCACCGTGGGCGAGAGGGAAGGTGTGAATGTGGCTAGATGTTTGGCAAGCAGACTTGGGGAAATGAGTGAGAGCACTACAAGAGTGGTCGGCAAATGCTTCCACTTCAGAGCATTACCTGAAACTTTGGATTCTGTCCTCCTCAATGATTACTCGACACGTCGAAATGAACTTATCGTTAGTATACTTATCATGAAAGCAAGGTTACGTTTATTTTTTTTATGCGGAAACGTATCAAGAAACTTACGTAGTCTGATTTCGTAGCGCAGAAAGCGTTTCGAATGCTTATCAAGTTTTTGACAACACATAAACATATTCCGACGAACCCAATGGGTTTTGGGAGTTCCTGCATAATTTACAAATGCGGCAACAAGCGATCGAGGAGAACAGCTGCGTGATTTCCGCCTTACTACAACGCTTATAATCTCTGCACTTTTTGGATGGAAAAAAAAGGTGGTGCATTCGCTAGTATTGACTATTGAGAAGGTAAATATATTATGATCAGAACTACCAGCGTTTGGAGAAAGTCAAGTGCAAAAAGACTGTGCTGTGAGGATAAGACTAGATCGATAATCTTATCCTTCCGGTAGGTAGTGCACATGCCGTTGAAGCAAAATGGAGTCAAACATTTTAACAAATTGCATCGCCCTAGAGCTAATTACTGATCCTATCTCTACTCAATAGCTGATTTGAGTACTCCTACGAGTGTTGGAAGATGCCAAACTAAATAGGGTCGATAACAGCTGTTCATCCTGGGACGCGGAGGAAGATGGGGGCCGATGCAGCAAATATAAGTAAAACGTCTGCTTCCCCCCAGAGAACAAAATATCAGCTTATAAAACAGCTGACACTAACCGGAGAGCTAAACTCAGTGTATTCACATGAGAGTAGCTGATAGAGAAAATACCCTCTTTTCTTCTTGCCCTATCCTCGGAATAGGTAAAGGGAATGTCTCAGCATACTCCGCGATCAACTATTTTGGGATTTAACCACGACTCTATTACGGAAGCGTTATCAGTTTTGACCATTGCAATTAAACGGGGAAAGTGAGGTAATTTAT